AAAGGAACGCTCTCCGGTAATTGAAACACAGTTTCTGTTGTATGCATCACCACGTAAACGTGTAACTGATAACAAATTTTCTTTATATACATATCCGCAGGTTATCGAAACCACGAGAAGTTCTTAAATACGACAACAGTTCGCGATTTTTTCTTCAACTTAAATATGCCATTTCCTAAGAACACTTGTTAAGAAGCCTCTCATACATGCTTGTTATGCACTACGCTATCATGCATTTATACTTAGGGTTTCGAAATTCTTCTTTCTGTAAATAATACCTCCAAAATAATTCTAATATTGTGTCGATTTGCTGATTGACAGAATTAAAAAAAGCAATGTCAATTTTTCAAGTAACTTCCCCCCCCCCCCCCTCACTTCGACTGTAAAATATTCCTTTCCTAGCAGTTTTTAATAAAAAAAAAAATCACAGTTTAACTAGCAAACAGTAATTTACCTAATACACGTCACGTGAACTGTAAAATCCCTCGTACGCGACATCGTCGTGATCTATTAGACCTTAATACTGACCCACTATTTAACATATCAGTAGCGTTGGTTGTAGGTTACTGTTATCAGTTAGTATTAATATACTAATACTGTATGTCAAAACTGTACACATCGCGTTGGAATATCTACGAACTAAGCTCTAATACTAATCCTATTATATTAAGTTGTGTCGCACGCATTTCGACACATCTATTTTGATGCCTTTTACGTACATTGTGTTCCCAATCAATAAAATCTCAAAAAAGTCCGGTCATGCACGACAATAAAGATTGATCTAATCAATTTAGCTTATTAGCTACTCGCGTGGTCCCCTCTCAAAAAAAATTTCACTTTCTTTCTTTCTTTCTTTCCAAAAAACGATGCCTTTGCAAAAACCAATCGTTTGCGTGCTCGGGTGTGGAACCATGGGAGTAGCCATAATCTCTGGTATCTTGGATGCCGGATCATCACCATCATCATCATCACCACAATCATCACAACCATCACAATCATCATCACAATCATCCAACGATACTGTCCCCTTTGCCAAACCTTCAAAATTCCTTGCTTGTGTCTCGACAGAAGAATCGGCCAAGAAAGTAAAGGGTGTGTTTGGCGATAAAGTGACCGTCCTTTGTGGCGCCAATCTTGCTGCCGTTCGCGAAGCAGACGTCGTTTTACTATGTACAAAGCCGCAAGTAGCAAAGCATGTGTTGACCGAAGATGGTATTTACGATGCATTGCAGAATAAACTGCTGATCAGCATCTTGGCTGGCCTTACGATAGATCAGATCAAGGCGTGGGTCCCCGCATCGACAAAAATTATTCGTGCTATGCCTAATACTCCGTGCATGATACGTCAGGGTATGACGGTCTTGAGCTGTCCGTCGAATGTCGAGGAGGATGAAAAGGCGTTTGCGTATTGGGTGTTTGCGACGTTGGGGAGAACAAAATTCTTGGATGAGAAGCATCTCGATACTGTTACGGGATTATCGGGCAGCGGTCCTGCCTTTGCGTGTGTTGTCTTGGAAGCATTGGCTGATGGCGGGGTGATGATGGGACTTCCGAGGCAAGCTGCCCTGGAATTGGCCGCTCAAGCGCTTAAAGGTACTGCTGAGATGGTATTGATGACTGGGCTGCACCCAGCAGCAATAAAAGATAGTGTTACTACACCAGCTGGCTGTACAATAGCTGGTTTATTAACTATGGAAGATGGTAAAATTCGATCCACGTTGGCCCGTGCCGTTGAAGAAGCAGCTAAAGTGGCCTCGACATTGGGTAAATCGCAAAAAAAATAGATGGTCATTTACGGTGAACTAGATATTTCATTTAGGACAACAATACAACTTTAAAATACCAAGTAGTTTAGTTTATTTCAGAAAAATCGGTAATTTACAGACATTATTGTAATAAGCCAACTAAAACTATTCTTGTTCTATATATTATTTTATTAACTCTATGCAAACATGTCTTCGCGATCAGCTTCAACGTCTTCCTCCATCGCACTAAAGTTGAGGAAATGTTGGGGTCTACATATTATAAAAATGGCAATTAGTGTCTGTCAAAATGATAATAAAACACCAAACAAACTCCAATATACTTTACCTGTGAAGCTCATGATAAAAGTCATTCGGAACGTCGAGTTTCAGCGTGTATTTCATATTCGCGCTATGGGATGGACCCATAAACGAGTAATTCCAAACGCCATTTTCAGGAACCATGAAAAGGCCCATAAATCGATCAGACAATAACATTTGAACTTTTTCGGCAAATGTTGGGAGATAACCTAAAAGTAAAACAAAATTTAATAAAACGTTCTATGTGATTGGAAGATGTTATAAACTTGTAATCAAAATCGTACCAGGTGGATTAGGTGAAGTATCCTTATTATTACGCGCCCATTCGAAGCCTGCAGGCGTGAGCTTGTAGGCTGTCAGTGAACATGAACCAGGTGTGAAACTGACTGTCATTGTAATTGTTTTGTCACCGTCCCAAGATTTGTTCTCTGCAACGATTCTAGCATGGAGAGAAAGTATTGTAGCAGATAATTGTGCTGTCTCAAATGGTTGGGTTACAATAAGACCAAGTGGCTCCAAGTCTTTGAGGAATTCGTGATCAGGTAGTGCATTTGGTAGGTTGACTGTTTGGTGAGTGCCGTATTGCGGAACAATGACGAGCGCACGGATCTCTTTTACTTGCCCATTGTCTTTAGGCGATACGCCGTATAAATATGCCGCAATTTGTGTTCTTAGATCTGCAATTTGAATAAATCGTTTCAGCACATTCTTTGGCAGAACGAACGTATATCCCGTGTCTCTTATATCATCTGCGTTAACATATATGTGGTTCGTGCGAAGATGAAGATTAGTAGACGATATTGCTCGAACACGCCATTCAGTCTTTGACGAGAACGTCTGCGTTTCGTAATTGCTGGTTGTTGTAACAATCATTTCATCACCACGGATATTTTGTGTCTTTGTGGTCACGGCAGTTAGCTGAGATTGCTCCTTTGTCTGCTTCTCAATTTCTGCAATTTGTTGTCTCTGTAACGAGGGGGCGGAAATCTCCATACCAAGAATAATATCACGGATTTCGGATTGTGTAAGAGATGCGACATTAACATTATTCTTCTTGCCATAATCTGCAAGAATTAGATCCTTGAGAGCTACTTCAACCTTTATCCATTCCTCATCGGTCAACGTAGGCCAGATATGATGCGGCTCGGTAATGGTATTCTTATCTGGACGCAAAATCATCTTAGTCTTGTCCGTGTTCACGTGTAATGCACGTAGTATAAGAATAAGCCGAGAAAATGCAGTATAGGGAGAAATAGTCTTCAGCCAGTCGTCGAATAAGTTAAACAGACACATTTGAGGTTCGGTAGCTTTGAGAATCAAGTCTCCGAATTTCTCTAGTTTCAGACAAGCTTGGAATGGCAATTGAAGCTCGCTTCCTTTTATCACTATATTGGGGAAATCAAGACCTAACAAACAAACCATCATGTCAGCCGCTGGACGCTTATATGCAACTCGAAATAATAATTATAAAGCATTAACACTTACAATGTACTTCTAATGGATCCAACATTCCCTTTCTCGTGACAATAATCTGTTTAGGCTGTTCTTCGATGGGCAAAGATCGAATTAGGGCTGCAACTTCTTCAGCTGTTTTCCATTTGGCTAATTGACCAAGACGTTTCTGGCCAGCCCATACGGATGTATGGATAATCTTAAGGAAAAGCTGACCAGTACGTGGATTGAAGATAAAGATGGCTCCATTAATTGGTTTCGTGGTCAAGTTCCCTTCGAAGGTCTTATGGATTGTTACTCTATATACATTCGTGTCGTCAACGAACCAGATAATTTGGTTCGAAAACAATTCGGAGTAGTTTTGTGATGACAAATAAGGCTCAGTCGGCTCCGAAGAATATAACTGTAGACCTTTGCGAATACGCTCGCGAAGAACATATAAGGCTGGGTTGGCTTTCATAATCTTAGCCATAGCTGATTGGATGAGAGGTTTCATGCCGGGTATCCAATGTCCGTATGCACTATGCAAGTTATATGCTAGATCTATACCGATCATTATACCAAATGGTGAAGGATAAATACTCATGTTGTCCGTTGTATAATCCAAGAACTTCGCCCTGGTGTATCGCTCAATATCATGCGAGTCGAAATCTCCCCATCTCAGCTGAACATCAACAAACCAGCGGGCTGTTGTGGTGCCGTCCATCGTGTCTTTAGTGTCGTTGAGCAAAGAGGGTTTCGAAACATTCCATTTATAAGCAGCAAACAATAATATGTCGGCACAAGATGAGTTCATTTTGTATGATTTACGCGGATGAATTGTTTCTTTTTGTACAGTTTCGATCTGCAAGCTTTCCAATTCACTGTCAAATACTTGACACATATCCATTACAATAGATTCATGAATCTTTTGCCATAAATGTGCCCTGAATATCTGAATTAACGAAATCTTAAGCGTTGGGATCTTTCCGTGCATAAATATACCGGTCAAATCAAGTTGGACTTGGAATCCAACATACACATTGGCACGGTTAATAGTAGGTGACCACCAAAGCGTAAATCGACGATTTGGAATCTGGTTCAGACCGGACCGTTGTGCATTAGTCAGTTTCTTGTACCTCATAGACTCTTCGAAACCACTGGCTTTCTCCCAGAATAGACCCTCCCACGTAGAGAAGTAAGTTCCCTTGAAAAGAGTATGTTCAAGGATACCCTCGACTCCTCCAAGCGCTTGAATCATATCAGTTCGATAGTTGTTCAACGACCACAATTTACCATCGTGAGCGGCTGACGTCCATGCAAACGGATTATTTTTGAGAATTTGGTATTGTTTAAATTCTGTCCGAACACGCCAGCCCTTATCGTATGCAAGAGTATGTCTGTCTTTCGAGAACAGAGTATTGATTCTTGGTAGACCCCGATCCCACGAATCCTCCAAATCTTCCAATGTTAACCTACGATTTTGAGCGTTGGCTTCCTCACGTTTAAGTGCATATTCTGCCCACACTCGCTGTGAATCAATAAACTCGGATTCCCACGGTTGTAAGTATCGATACAAATTAGGGATTAACTGGTCTTCTTCATGGCTCATACCAGAACGGAAATGAGTGATTCCAGTTTCTGTTTGCTTTGACCAACGGAGATCGGATTGCGGAATCAACACGTGACCCATTGACAACATGCCTAATCCGCCAAGTTCCTTAGGACAATAAAACACAACTGGCGGGAAACGCGAAGGCATTTTGGAGTTGAGTCCAATTTTAATTCTTGTTTGAATTTTGTTTTCTGCTTTAACGATAATGTCTAACAGTTCACGTGTGTGTACAACGGCCTCGCGGAAGTATGACATAAGACCAATCAAACACGTATTCCATTTGTTCGATATCTTGGAGAATGTAGTGCTGCCGCTGGCCATCAAAATCTGACGTACACGGTTATGGAATTTCTGCATGGATTCTTCGTCAACACGCAGAAAGGCTTGTGCAGTACGTTCTTTTGTCTGCTCGTTGATAAGATTCCAAACACCATCTTTGAGAGTAAATTCCTCGTTTATTGCCCGGATTCGCGGAAGGATACGTACTTCGAACCCACACATCTATAAAATTGAATAGCATTAAAACATTAATATTTATACTCGCATCTTTTGGTAATTAATCACATTATTCAATTAAATACATACATCAAACAGTAAGTTAGGATTGTCTTTCGAGTACACGCTTACGAAACTATCTTCCCACTCAATAGTAGTAAGAGAACGTGGTAAACGATTCTTGATATCCCAAAACACAGCTCGACCAAGATTTACGTCGTGTTTCATAAGGCGCATTCTACAATCTCGTGGCCAACATTTTTTATTATTGTATCCAACAAGATTCTCAGAATTTGGATCAGGATGTTCGGTTAGGAAACGCTGTATAAGATCTCTTGCTTCATCCGCAGTAAATCGGAAAAATATATGGATTTTGTCGATATATCTACAGTACAATCTAATTGGATGACGCGTCTCGGTGACTATGTCGCGAAATTGTAAGAAATCATTTGGCATTTGAGGAGGTCCAGCCATTTCCGATGCGCGTTGTAACCCAAGTACCAGCAAATCGAGAATGAGACCATAGTATTGGAATATAAAGCTAGCAAACTGCAGCCCTCGAATAAGCCCATATGCGTTCACGTGGTTCATGTCTTTGTAATTTAATACGACGTTGTTCTTGGCGGTCATGTAATCAGCAAGATTGTGATCTAAGATTAATCTCAATAATCTGTTCAGCAGCGTTAAATCGATCTTTTCGTAAACTTTACTAAATTGAGTTTCTAACATGACATTGCAGGAACCGTCGGACGTTTCCCATACATCGGTTAAATTGTTGACACCCTGACAGAATTTGTAGACAAGCAACGGTGGTGGCTCTGTGTCTGAGGGTTTGATCCATGCCGGAAACAGATTCCTCTTTGTGCCTTCGTACCAAAGATATTGATCCAAGTATGCGTCTGTAATTTTCTCGAGTGGCTCAACATCAAAGACTGGAATGAGGTGAGAGTATAAATCCATAAACTCGATTCCTACTTCTTTGAACGCACGTTGTGTCAAGAGCAAACGCTTAATCCTGCTTAATGCTTCATGCGGGTTGTCGTATGCTTGTTCAATTAACCCCAATTCTTCACGTTGACTTTGATTAAGTCTACCCTTGACGCTATACGCCTCTTTCAATCTTTCCAACGCCAAAATCAAGAGTTTTGTATCATGCTTGTACGATAAAGGAGGAAACGGAATTGGCGAGAATTTTCGACTCTCCAGCCAATGTACTGTTGAGGTGTAAATAGCAACGGCTTCTTCGGCAGTAATATATGGGCCATCTTTGAGATAGTTATGTTGTCGTTCTTGTTCAGCTTTGAGCCATAATCGAGTCAATCGGCCAAGATTCTTTTTACATACAGTCTTGTCGACTGTGGCACCACGTCGGATTCTTTCTCTGTTGTAATGAGCGACGCTAGTCCACCAATCAGCCTTACTTTTTACATATCTGAGGATCATGTTTTCTATTGGTTTTGGCATACCAACAATGTGCCATGGCACGTTAGCCTTCCAGCATCGCCACGCTTCACTGAGATGTTGTAGTATGGTCTTTGATTTGTTGGCTTTAATGCCTTCAGGCATCATATCTAAAATATCGTGCATAACTGCTGCTCTAAGCTCAAGATCATAATGAGACTCCACCCGCTGTTTAGTTACCGTTTTGGCGATGCCTTTTGAGTGACGTCCCTCAAAATGACGTGCCAACAGATTACCGAGCCATCGTTCGAGTAGTGGTACTATGCCTCGCATAAAGAATAGCCAAACTCGCCATCCAGGAGCCCAAAACCCACACCCAGGGCCCTTTCCAACAACTCCAGTATTAAACCGATAGTAGATCAAGTGTTTTAAATCTATACAAAATTCGGAAATTTTCATTAGGTAAGTATGAATTTTGTCATCAAAAATGAGACAGATACCGAAACTCACCTTTAGTCATACGAATCTGTCTCATCAATCGATATTTGTATCGATACATTCCCGTTAATTGACCAACGTGTGCAAAAATGTATTGTAAACCGTCAGCTAATTGGAATGCATCAACGTTTCCTAATCGATACTGAACATGTGAATCTACAATCAACTTGGTCAATCTTAAGATCTCACGACACAAATGAAAAGCATTTCCAAATCTAGATTTTTTCCTCTCTTTTGTGGTCAACGTCTTCACAGGTTTCAAAGAAAAGTTCATATCAAGATGAAGATAATTTAAATTCTTTCTATGAATCAACAAATTCAGCATATTGTAACCTTGCCGACAAACTTGTAATCCAGCTTCAACCCAATCTAGTTCCGTCGTTTGAAAGAATTTTGTTGCCTTCAGTTGTCGAAATAGATATTTTTTATTCAATGCTTTAGGTGGCCGATGTTTTAGTGCGTTCAAGACGTAACATTTTAGCAGTTTCTGATATGAAACTCTAACTTTGACTGGGTGTCCGGGAGGGCAGTGCTCCAAGTACCATGTCTTCACGAGCGGCACATCTTCAGCGCGTCGAGTTCTTCCGCTTCGTTTATTAAATGGATGAGGAGCCCACCAGAGTGATATACCGTCAGCTGTAGTGTCGGTACTCAAAGGGATGTCTTTTAGGAACGAATGAACGTTCTCTGGTAGAGTAAATTCGTCTACATCACTATCGCCAAAGATCTCGTCCTCGTGAGACGTTGTTATGTTTACGGGTTGAACAGTGCGAGATGAAATAGGATTTATAATTGGATCGAAGTAAAATGCTGGTAAATCAGGATCTTCGGCTCGAATATAGACTACAGTTGGTTCGTGGTACCATGAAACGTGTACGGATCGCGGAAGGGAGTTGTATAAAAATGGAAATGCAATTTTATATTCCGTGCGTATAGGTTGACGTATAATTATTTTGTTGATATCATTGAATTCGTTCCAATCGTCGTCCGCAGTGTCCATATCCCTATATAAAGGTTCAAATTTGGGTCCTCCAGGAATAGCCATATTCAACGCCTTAGCCGTGAAAAAACTCTTCAAATCGAACAAATAAAAATAGTTCTTATCTGTTAAGTCTGTCAACAGCTGATGTGCCAGTCGATACAGAGTAGACATTATTGGCAGATCCAGTTTCCATCGTCTATAAGTAGGTCCATTTACATACTTTGTATCTAGCAATGGTTTATGATCATAAAACCAATCCATCACGGCAGCATCTTCTTCCTCGTTCAATTCCATCTGTATGGCCTCCAGAGGAGCGACATCGAGAATGTTATCGCCGTAATCAAGCGGCGGTTCTTCGTCGTCAAATGGTGGAAACCGCATACGTTTAAAGTGCCGACGATCCCGTTTTTCCCTACGCATCATAATCCACATTGTACCCCATTGAGCAATGTAGACTGGTTCGATTACCCAGGGTATTTCATTTACAAAGGTTATTGCACCGGTTATATGATATAATACTGGAACTTCCCGAACTTGTTCCCAGGGCATCGGCATGTTCTCGAGTAATTTAAGAACGGCATGAGGTACGTATTTTAGCGCACCAAGATATATGCGTTTGTCATGTCTATATTTTTTGCTTGACATATCACCATGATCTTTAATAATCTTTCTGATATGTTCCGGTGGCATATTAGCCTTTTCATGTTCAACAAATCCAAATTTTCGTTTCTCTCCATATCGTTTAGATTGCATCTGCTGCCATTTTCGCGCCTTTTCCTCTAACTTCTCTGGTGTGGCTTCTGTTGGTGCAGGTGTACCACGATTAAAGTGATTCTGTGGTGGGTTGAACTGGGTAGGATTAAACTGATAATATTGGTAAGCGAAGGGAGTTTGTTGTTGCGGCTGTTGCGGCTGTTGTGATTGTTCTTGTTGTGAGGATGGTGGTGGTGGCAGCTCTTGTTGCTGCTGCTGTTGCTGATCTGCGTACATGGTAGACGTAACAGTGTAGATCGTTGAGACCAGCACAACGTTTTTTATAATTTGAACGCCGCTTTTATAATAGCGTCACATCGATTGGTTGGTTGTAAGCTGCATAGATCAGTTGATATCTGTTACACAATATTAATATACCGAAATGGAAAAGAAGTTTTATAGATGATACAGTGACAGAGTGATCCGGTTGATCAAGAATGATATGAGCAAGTCGCAAATACAGCATAGCGGAAGATAAAATCGAGCCAAACTCTGTATATTGCCTTGGCTAATTGAGAATAATTGGGCAATTCTCAAGCGAAATGTAGAGACTGATTTTACCGCGCGTTAGTAGACGATTAGAAAAATATATGATATAGTTCTTAGATGCGTTATGGTTAGCGTCTTGAAGCACATATTTACGCTCGTCAAAATTTGCGCCCTATAAATCCCCATTGTTGAAAGCTGTATTTTAATGGGTATAATATTAATAATAAATCGATTCAGTGTGCCAATACGGTATTTGTACCTTATTGTATAACTTATCGAACGATAAAGAAATCTTCTACTTGATGAGCACTACCGCTTGCTCACTTACCAAATTGATAAATTAATGAGAGTACCTGTTACACAAAGAACTCTATTACTATAGATCGAAAAGTCCGTCTTTGTAGACTATTGAGAATACTGGGACAAGATGTGTGTAATCTAAGCAAGAGCGTATAATGCAAGTGGGTGGGTAAACGTACTAACTAAAGGAAACTAACTTATTAGTACAACAGAAGTATTGCTCTTTCAGATGCACAATAGTTATAATCGATGTACTAGTATAGAACGTGTTATCGATGATCACTAATGATTGGTTCATTTTAATCGGACAAACAAAAAATTCTTACCTCCGAATCACGATTTTTCATACTATTCGCTAACCTAAGAGATTATCATCCAGACCCTCCCATTCCTGACGAATTGTTGTTTGAAAGTCAATTGTTGAAAGCTTCTTTTTTTTCATTAACCGCAAATTTACTTCTTTCTCCACTTTTTCCTTAAGTATTGCCCACAAATTCTCGATTGGGTTTATATCCGGCGAGTAAGCGAGCCAATCAAGACTATGGCGCTCAAACAGGTCAGTTATTGCCCTTGCCTTGTGGATAGGGGAGTCATCCTGTTGAAAACGAAACTGACTATTTGCTCTGGAAATGTAAGGAAAAAGGTGAGTTTCAAGAATTTGTTGATATCTTTTAGCATTGACCAAGGTGACGGCGAGTTTAACAGTAAGAATTGGAGGTCTTCCAGGTATGGGAAGTGGCATAATAACAGACCTTTCTTTAAGTCGATTGACTAAATCATACACTGTGGATTTCGGAAACCTGTTAAACGTATGATTTCAGCAGGTTTCTGAATGTTATTGTTATAGCTGGCTTACAACTGTCCTTCATGCGTCAAACTTTGAACCGGTCGACTTTTTTTTTCACTAACAGACGCGTGAAAACAGACTGCAAACAAGTTACGCGTTTGGTTATGCTAATGTGACTTTTTCTGCACCGGATCAAAATTCCGGATATTTATGGCGAATATAAAATTGCATTGAATTTCTTCATACCAATACAGTTACAATTTAAGTTACTAGACTAGTACAAGAAGTCAGATCAAAAAAACTTTTGTATTTGGCATGGACCATGAGTATTCATCACCAGAAGAGAGCTGGGTAAGTTTTGGTTGTACATTCAAAAATGCAACTCAATATTACTAGTACTAGGAGATTGTACAACATAAACAATCATCTTCAGGTACCAAAAGCAAAGGGAAGGAAAAGCAGCATGGAGATGCAGGAATCAAGCAGATCATTATATGCTATACAAACTCAAAATCATACCTTGCACTTTTTAATTTTATCATCACACAATTAATATTAGTGACTCAAATAAAATGCTCAAGTTAAAACTGCACAACAGCATATTTAATGAATTATTTCAAGATTCAAGTAAAAATTTTCATAGATAACTTTCACAGTAATAAGTAATAGCAACTAGATTCACAAAGGCTTAATTTCCATGTAATAGTAACTTGCTATCTAATGCAGGGTGATGACTGTCTAACTTGCCATCATGTGCTATGGCACCCCCCTTAGGTGCAATAAAAATAGAATAACCTGATAATTTACCCAATACAGTCAACAAACTTCTTTCTGCTAATAACTTCATGTATTAATTATAATTGTAATGAAACTTTCCTTTTGTTTCATAAACATTTAATATTAAACCCATTTTTCTTGCAGCAGCTCTTTTTTTGTATACTAATTTCCATACTTATACTCCTCATCTACCAGTCCCCTGCATATAAAGGTACTTGAAATATACTTTTCCAGATTATCTCTGCAGATGATGATCAAATTGGGACACCTAGAGAGTGCCTTCTCACGATCTTTATCACTTAAATTGCGGTTAGTAAAAAAAATAAACCCTATTGCTTTGAAGTTGAGATGACTGAATTTCTGGTTTGCTTCATTATACCAGTGGATCAGCTCTGATGCAGTTACTTTGCCCTTTGTATTTGAGGCTGGCATGGAATGCTTTGTTTGTTTTAGCAATGCCACATATCCAGATCCAGACTTTAACTTACGGCAAGAATGAGAATCAATCACAGGGTTTCCTGTATGACAGAGAAAAACTACTGATGACTTAACAGAAATATTTCCATCCTTCCGAATTAAATGTTTGTCTGCCCAAGTAACCTTGCCCTTTTCTGGAACACATTGAGCTATCTCTTTTTCAACTGACATTTGTTGCCAAGGTTCAATTTTCCACTCCAAAACTTTTGTGTTTGCATAAGTATAGGGGAATTGCTCTTTGACTGTTGTACCATGTCCAGCCCTTAGTTTCTCCAAATAGGCTTCCAATTTCTCAAAATCTTGCCAGGTCCACTGCCGACAAGGAAAGGTAAGAAGATCAGGTGGTAACAGTGATACTTCATTGTTAAACTTCCATAAAAGAATATATGGCATTGTTATGGAAAATCGACCATTTGGTAAAAGGATATAATGGAAAATTCCATAGCAGTCAAGATCAAGGAAGCTCATTTCAGTCTCTGGAAGTAGAGTGTCCTCAGAGACTGATGTTCCAGTAATAATACATCTCAGAAGTTCTTTAAGAGCTGACTTTGGAAGAGTTGTTATGCTATGCTGACCTATAAGTGTAATAGTAAATGATAATCAAGTATCAATATCAACTGATTTTCAATGCAACATAGGAAACAAATCTGATTACCTTTTGGGACAACCATACTATAACATTCTGAGACTCTGTTGACCATCTGTGACCCTAACCTATCAATGTCCTGCTCTTCAAGAGGTTTTGAAAAATCACCCATGCGGCCTAAATCCATAAGCAGTCGGGCTACTCCACCAATATCAGATATCAAGATGTGGAGTTTGAATGGAGATTGCTCAAGGACATCTTTGGAAATTCCTAAAACAGAGACTGCAGAATTGAATGATAGTGGCGGTGTTGATAGAATTTGTGTAGAATACCGGCTCCCAACAATTGTTCTTTTCACATCCCCACCAAAAGTTCCAGACAGAATAGGAACAAGAATGACATCCTGTTCAGCAGCTTTGCTTTGTCCTGTAGGCACATAATTGTATCTTCCAATCTTTTGAATTATGTTGAGTTGTGGATTAGAGAATTGCTCCATTTCAATCTGATAGTCATCTTTCCATATTACAAGAGTTAGTGTTTCCTCTATATTCTTCCATTTGCAGAAATGATTGACAATCAATCCAATCACCTCACTTGTATTACTGAAGCAGGCTAGCGATTCTTTGCCATATGTTTGTTGTAGCATGTTGATGAATTCAGACAAACCTGTAGTTTCTCCACCATAGTATGCAGTTGCCAGTGATAACCCAAGCCATTGATCCTCCATGCATGCATCTCTATTAAATGAGTGATTTTCCTTATCCAAATCCAAGACAAGAATCTTGCCATTCTCTGAAATCATTTTCATACAGAATTGTGCCACCAACTCTGTCTTGCCAATCCCACAACCTCCAAAACATAACCCAAAATAGGTATCCTGAGTTTGCTTTGACTCTCGCCCATAATGGTTTTTTGACAAAAGTTCATATGCTGCTTCTAATGCAGCCGTCCGATCCAAAAACATCTTTGTTGCAGTTTTTTGAACAACTTGATTGACTTGACCAGGTCTGAGGTCATCCAGTATCTGCTTGAGTTCTATTTTGCGCCTCTTACTATTACCTGGATTAAGAATGACAGGTGGAAAAGAAGGCCCAAGTTAGTCAACATTGTCAATAAATAATATGCAATGGATGACAGAAAACATTGCAAGGTATGCAAAAAACATTCTGTGAAATGGATATGAAGTGGGACAGATTTTAGTTGATGGATAAAACAAGTTTGCAAACTTTCATCAAAGCAACAGCAGACAGAAAGAAGAAGTGATGGGGAAAAAAGAGTCCTGAATGTCAAAAATGGAAGTCCTTGGCAGCTTTGTGTCTATTTGCTAGTTCCTGATATAATAACACCATATTACTATGTCTACTATACCCTACATACATAGTACAAAGTCATTACTTGTAACAATAAAACCATATCACTAATTCTACTCTACCCTATGTACACACTACTCTATGTCCCAATGTCCGAATCAACAAAGTCATTACTTGTAACAATAAAGTATATATGGCGAGCAATACTATCATTACCATGTCTATGTACATGAACAAAAAGCTACATTTTCCCAATACAACTATATTACAGCCCATAGTACTATGTCTACTATACCCTATGTACATAGTACAACATGCTACTCTATGTACCCAACGCCCGAGTCACAAAGTCGTTACTTGTAACAATAAAACCATATCACTAATTCTACTCTACCCTATGTACACACTACTCTGTGTCCCAACGCCCGAATCACAAAGTCATTACTTGTAACAATAAAGTATATATGTCCCCAACACCCGAGTCACAAAGTCGTTACCTGCTTCCGGTTCTACGAGTCCCCTCAGATACCGAATCCTCGCATTGTCATCCCCATATACTGACAGTACAGTGACTGCATCTTCTTTCTGGGCAGGATTCTTGGTAAAATACACGCACAGAGTCGTCTTTTCGTCCTCCGTAAGAGCAAGACGCGAAATTTCTGAATACAGTTCCATGAGGAGACAAGTATCGTTCGTTTGCCGCGCGATGTGATCTAATATACTGCTTATCAATGACGTACTATTAGGAACTTTCTAGATTTTCCTGTATGCAGAATGTGACCAATGATAATTAATGCGCAGAAATTCGCGTTTGTCTAATGATCATCCGCAGTATATGATGAACAAACGGATATTTATTATAAAAACAGTACTGGTTAAATTGCTTCAGAAATCAACCACAACGCAATAAATATCGTTGAAACAATACATCGTTTTCAAAAAAATAAAAACAAAATAAAAATGCTTACATTTACAAGCGAATTCTTTATTGGAGTATTTATTAAAGGCCTTGTGGGAAGCTTTTATGTTAAACTGGTTTCCTTTACGTTTCTTCAGGTTTTTGTTTCTTTCTTGGTTCATCATTAGTTGGGGTTAAGGTTCATTATTTTTCGTTCTTCTTGGTAAATTTCATAGGTAATTTTTTCTTTATCTAGATATTCCTGAAGAGTTTGGGTATCATTGATTTTAAAAACATATGGAGCGATTTTTTCTCCTTGTTCTTTTTTCAAAATACTTCTAATCGTGCTGTAATTCTTGGGTTCCATAGTAGATTTAATATAAATTAGTTTCATATTAATATTTTTTTATATAGACATAATATTATATTAACCATGTTATGACTTCATATTCATTTCAGTCAATATTACATTCTGGCATGATATTAAGTTACAGCTGAGATAATCAAAGTATTGTTATTAGCCAAATTAGTTAATTTTAGCCACATCAGCCTCTTATTTATGTCACATAATAGATGCTCACTTTGTCTAGTTTTGTTGCAGTCTGCCCCTAATTAAGTACTCAAATTTTTGAAGCTGCTCAATTTTATTTTTCAGAGATGCCTTGTTCTATGTTAAGAGAGGAGAGGAAAAAGACAGTCTCTATGAGGCAAGAAGATAGTGATTAAGTCTTATGTTTTTCAATGATACTGCCAGAAGAGTTTTTATCCAGAAGGAGAACTTATTGGAGATAGTATAGTAAGATAATCACTTTGGGAAAGGCAAAATATGGTGTATTGTTATATTCAGGGTTTTCAGATAGTATGGTTGTTGTTGTTACATACGTATCACTGATATTAATTCGAGAGATTATCCATAGTTGTTCATCCCTACTCTTTCAGATTATTGGTTTTTGCACATTTTATAGTTTTTATTAAAATATGCTAATTCAGGATCGAACGGAGTGTGGTACGAACTGTGCTGTCATTCGACAGCGCGGTAAAGCAACAGTGGATGTAATAGGGACCAAACGACAGCAGGACTGTCACATAGCAGAGCAATAGTATACTGATAGATAGATAATTAGTAAGCGCCGCTAAAATTGGATTAATTAGAGAGTCTAAAAGATATAAAAGCAGCGCAAGTTTCGTGTTTTCGCCTTTGGTTCTCATATCTTTATTGTTATTATTTTAATAAACGATTATCGCATCTACTCTGAACAACACTTGAATAGAGGGAAACGCCCGCATACTCCGTCCCTTAGTGCATATAATTAAGCCGCCTTGTATCGGAAATCGTAGACGCATGACAGCCAATTGCAAATGAAATCTACTTTATTGATTACCATTACAGTACTAATTGTTGAAAACCGTCTCGACAATTATTCGATCGTAAGCCACAACAAACAATTGAAAATTAAAACAGCGTTGATTGATCAAATACATTTGCCCAAAATGGTAAGCCTACCAACCAGTACAATATCAATTTTCAAACCGTTCTTGACTGTGTATTCCGAAAAAAAACGTAAAAGACGAATCAGAAATTAAACTCGCTTTCTTCGCAATATCGATCGATCAAATAAATTTGCCCAGAATATCTAATAGCTTCTTTGCACTCATGCTAAGCTTATCAGCCATTACAATATCAATTGATTCAAGCTAATGGGAATAATTAAATTGTACGCCAGTTGAATGAAAAAATATATTGTTAACTTATTTAGTCAATTAGAAACATTTATAAACGCGCGACTAAATAATTGTAAATCAAATTCTGAAACTCACCGTTATAAGCAGTCTAATAATCATGACCCAGAGAATAATCAATATCGTTGATCTATCCGCCTTACAACAAGAATACGAGACTATCATAGATTTCACCACCGCTAATCATCCATCCTTTCCTCTTTTGCCAGAGGCATTTCCCCTCACACCACAAAACGTATCAATAAAATCTTCACAACCTTTTCATACTGTAGTAACAAGATCTGCAACAGTCGAATTGCAATATAATGCAAATAACTCACCTCATGTTCAATATTGGCGTCCGTCATCTCACTTAATTAATTCGTCCGCCGTCTGTGTACTACCATTTTTTATTTTGCTCATCTAAAACATAAATATATTGTTTTAGTCGGTTTCAGTTTAGAATGTTAACTTTTCTTAAAAAATGTCGTTTTTTATTTAATCCTTTTCTCGTTGAATAACCTCAACGTTCAACCAGTGGGAACTCTAGGAAACAGTACTCTTTATTATTGCGAGTATATACGATTTGCATCTCAAAGCTGTTTTTCTTTTAAACATCGTTATCTATATAATAAACAGTAATTGGTTTGAGCGTTGAGCATTTCAGAATAATTTTCCATCCTGCGATATACACTTTACCAACATAAATAAAAGTTAAATCATTATCTATTGTAATCATCTCTTTTAGTATTATTCTACGCATGTACAACGTAGTTTACTAATTAATTAAAAGAAATTATCCCATCCCATCCATATGTTTGAAATTATTTCCGTATTGTGCACAGTTTGCCACATAATTATTGTGCTGAGGAGGCGAAGCCTCTTAAATTAATTTTCACTCTAGTTTACTTACAAAGTTTGCGTAACGGCACATACAAATTGGGTCAGGAAATGCTCAAATTGCTGACACAACCACGAAAGATGACAAACCGTGTAATCGCTCAAATTTACTACGCAATAATTCGCGCTTTGAAACGTGAAACGTTCTTCAGCAGTATACTATTCTTCAGTTTGCTACGTCACTGTGATGCTTGTGAGCCTGTTTCCTGCAAAGACTTATGTTCAACACGCATAAAGATCTTGGAGAATCGATTAATCCTTCATAGTGCACAAGGTATGGCCTTACACAACCGATCAAGCTCCAAAAAAATATATCGAATTCTTATGTCGTGATGCAAGGACTTCATCGTGAGATACAAGTGGGTCTCGATATAACGACACGCTCGGTTCCCACCACCTAAATGGTCGCTATATCAAAAATGTCCTTATTGAAAACTTAACTTATAACAACAATAAAGCAAGTCCAACCAATTGTCGTTATATAAATTTGATACGATTGATAACTGTTACAACTTAAGAGGATTACAATCTTCGTTTATTTATTGCATTACTAAGTTTTTTTAACTCGTTTAGGAAGGATAAACTTCAATTTCGCCTTGCTGTTGAACATAACCCTTTAATCCCTTGCATATCTTAGAGCACCCGATACGCTAATAATATATCTTCGTTTTCACTCTCCCATCTCCAGCGATTGTTGCAACGATATCTTCAACTCCGATCCACTCATCAACTGATAACAAATCACTCTCACTGATTCCTAATTTCATGAGTTTTATTTATTCCAATCCAACGTTTTCTCACGTCATAGTAATACTGGGTTGCGTTCGATTAGCACGTGCAGAGTTAACCGTTTCAATTCGATTAATGCAAAAACAGCTTGCTTAAATAATACCAGCGTCGCAAGGCTGTTGTATTAGAGCCAATAACTATGCCTCAGGGGAAATTGCCTTTTTTTCTGACTGTTGTGATTCTTTTTCTTTTTCTTTTAATTGTGCTTTTAGATTTTCAATTTCTTGATTATAACTCTGCTCTATCTAGCTTCTTATTCTGCGCTATCTTGGCCTCACATCACACATCTTTCAAATTTAGGAGGTAAAAAAAGTAATACTACATTGCTTAATTCTTCGTCTTCATTCCACTTATGTGATAAAGCATTATCCAGTATCAAGAGAATTTTACAGTGTGCATGTCGGCTGAAATATACTTGTCTGCATCCAAGCATTTTTGCTCCAATAGTAATAAACGGGTAGACTTGCTTTACTGATTCCTTTTAGAGTACGTGGAGTATTAAATTCAGGGGTGGAAGTTTATCACCGCTAGCACTATGAGCAAAGTTTTGGATGGCATTAAGTCCCAGTACACGGCAGTTTCGTCACAATTATAAATGTCGGATCTATTGTATTAGTTGTCTTCGTTTGCAGATTCATTCGGTATTCTAGAAGACGTTCAAATCGGGTGAAGCAGCTAGTACACCATCTGGTAACCTCAAAAATGTTATGCCTTCCGATAGGTGCGCATCTGGTACATTTAGTCTAACACTTTTTCTTGAAGAATAGGACCACTAACCG